AATTCTGTGTTTGAATCCAAGAGGAGAAAAACTAACTTGCACCACTGCATCATAATCTTCCAGACTTGGGTCTTGCTTAGCAGGAAATGCAGCTTGTGTGGATGCGGTGCTGGTCTCGAGACATCTAGTGGTGGATATGATACGGAGAACGTGTCTTTGCCCTGCTGCTGTCTTGCTGGATTTGTTAACTCTGCAGGGATTCAGTCAGATTTGGGCTGTGTGACTTTATTTATCTACATACACACCACCTTACACATATAACCTTACACATGTCTAGCCTTTATTGTGAAAGCAGATGACAATGCCAAATTCTGCCTTGTCCAGGTCAAATCAAGTCATACAAAAGGAACCTGCATTTTTTTCTTATGTCGTGATTATATAGTTGCCCTGGTAGGACTTCCATGTTTTCAACAGGGTTGCTACTTCTTGATGTTCATTTGGAACTACTGTAAAAGCCATACTGTGCTTGTAACACAAAATACATACTTTCATTCCATCACAGGGAATTCACAGGTCTCCTACTGCGAATTGCTAGATCCCTAGGTTGAACGTTGGCAGCTTTTTGCTACGTAGCAGGTTTTGAGGATGTTCTCCTCACCGTGTCTACCACAGTACTGCTCCCATCTTTGTCACATCTCCAGTATCTCCCCTCTGTACCTGAGAAATTGGGCTGGGGTGCCCGTAATGAGATGAGAGCCCTGGTTCTGTTTTTATGGGGCGCATTTCCTCAGTGGTCGTGGCACTGCTGCTGCTACTAGCGGAGCTGGTGGTTGGGGTAAGACTCTCGCTGCTGGATGGACCTGTGAGAAAGAACGTGGTAATCCAGGCTCTCTCCAAAGAACTTTTAGTACAAAACTGTACCCAACCACCCAAAGTTGGTGTAAGTAATAAATGAATAAGTAAAACAGTGAGCAGGGCTTTCTTACTGCTGATAGGCATTCAAAGACATTCCCCATTTTTGAAGAATCAGCCTGTTTTGTGTTATGGTGTCTGATTCATATGGCACAAGTCCAAATTTCCTTTTAAATGGCCACATGGACAAGTGCACACACACACACACACACACACAAGCAAAATAAACTTTATTGTGCAACGCTTACCTGCTGGTGTCTTTGATTTGTTAAGGTTCTTTGGCTTACGCTTCCTTGTTTGAATACCTTCTTTTCTCATTGCTAAAGGCCTTGGGACCTGTGGAGCCAAATATAAAAGACGTTGTTTTCTGTATGTCTAAAAAGTCATCTAGGAGAACTGTTTTTAAGGCCAGGATGGAACAACAGCTCATCTGACTTGTTTTCCTATGTAACTCAAAGCAGAAAATTTCTTGCTGGCTAAAGCCTGTTTTCTGGGAAGATATAAAGTCTATGTGGGAAGACATCCCTTCACCATTGATCCCAATGAGATAGTCACTCTCATAGTCCGAAGCATCCTGACATGACCAAAAGGAATTTGTTGGGTTATTTTTTCCCCTATCCACCTTCTCTTCCAGCATTGACCTGTCTCTCATGAATATTACTCCATATACTCTTGAAGCACTGGAAATCTTTATATATAATATGTATATGTATATATATGTCTTTATGTATATGATCTTCCCTAGGAGCTGCAATTCCCTAAGAGTAGCAATAGGAAGCAGAACTAGGACTTTGTTGACTACAGCCAGTTGTTAGCTGGGATCTGGCACCCCATTTGGAAAGGCTGAATTTAGCTGTGATGAATCTGGGCCTGATTTTTTTTAGATTTTAGGACTTTGATGGAAAGGGCATCAAGTCAGGAATGTGAGGAATGCCCTGCATACGTCACCTCTTGGAAGCATAAGCATGACTTAGTGCTAGGATGGGGGACACTAAAGCCCAGAGGGACAGAAGTAAAAGCAATTCCAGGAAAGCACACAAAAAAGTACAGCAAAGACAGTCACCAACTCATTTCTACCAAGAGCCCTGAATAGGAGTAAGGAAAATAAAGACTTTACCCCATGGAGCTTCATGTAGAGTCCGCAGGCGTTACAGACTGGTTCTCCCTCGGCATTTCTGCGCCAGAGCGTGGTTGTCGTCGTGTGGCAGTTGGCACAAGAGAGGCCAACGCGGCGGGAAGCTGACTGTGAGAAAAGACGGGACAAAAATGCATCAATCCTCCACTGCCACCACCAGCAGCATCTCAAAGCCCAAGGAGTCCAGCTCCAGGTCCCAGACGGTTGATGTGTCCCTCCTCTGCTACTCCTCACTTGTCTCTCTTCTTTTCTCATCATTCTACTGCAGTGTGTAGCACATCTGCCTTTTTTATTTTTCCTCTTGTCTTTCAGCTTCTGTGTCAGTGGTCCTAGCTTTCCATAGGCCCTGTGTCCTGCTTGCCAATCCTAAGCAGGTATTTCCGCTATCCTGGGGCATCCCACTTGGGTGGCTATAGAGCTTCACCAGGAGTGCCATGCACCATGCAATTCCCACCAAGATTTCCAGATCACCAACAGTCCAACTAAAGGGCAAGAGCACATGTCCAGATCCACGCAGCTCATGCACTTGTATTTTCAAGGAATCCTTATTTTGCCACAGCTGTGCAGAATTAAAAACGTGTGTTGCTGCTTGCTATCAAACACCAGTTCTGATACCTAACGGGCAGTTCCTGACTACACAGATGTGCCCAGGCACAACAAGCACACCAGTAAATGAAATAAGGCAAGGACCTCGGTGCCGAAGTGCAGACGTTGACAGTGCTACTTTGCTCCTGGCCAGTAATGTCATATATCCTGAAAAATTAATGAAGGCTATGAAGGAATTCAGCTGTAAGGGTAACTCAGGCAGGTCAGCTTGGTCCAGTCGCAAACTGAACTAGGTAACCTGATTCAGTCAATAACCTGGCAGAGGTTTTCACAAGAGGGCGCTGGGTGACTGTGGCTGGTGGCAGCACTGAGACTAATGCTGTCATTTTTGGCACTTGCGTGGGGACAGCTGGGTCTGAGCACAGACTTGTCTGGGCTATGCGAAGAGCGAGAGCGGTGCAGGTTGGAAATGGAATATCAAGAAAGATGTAGCAAAGGGCTCCTTGCTGCCTAGGGATGGTGGCACTCGTGACAGCCCTCTGTTCCTGGGGCATGGACACAGGTTTCAGAGACAGTCCCAGAAACCCTCAGCTGAAATAGTCTGAGAGAGGCAGGATATCAAAACTGAGCTATTCCTATCCCTCAATTTGAGCTCCCCATCTTGACCCCATAGGCCTTGGGACACCAGGAACTGCCCCATTGCCTTCTCCCACATGCCCTGTGCATCAGTTTGGCTGAGGAAACAAGACACAGGGTCTCCAGGAAAGGTGTGAAGTGAGATGGGTCACCCAGTGATGACCTGTGGGATGAGGACCCTGAAGGTAAGAGAAGAAAGGCTGCTTGTGTGGTGGAGCTGGGAAGGGTTTCCATTTGTTCTAATATCCTGAAGTGGTCCTAATGCAAAGACTGGCCTTTTGTGCAATGGATAGCATAGTAGTGCCTCTGTGTCCTACACATGCGTTACTCCACGTGACCCATCTGGACAATGCAAGGTCATGCAGTGTATCAAGCATAGCATCATCTGTCTTATTTTGGAGATCCAGACCAAAGCCATTTGGGTGGAGCAGATGGGAATAGTGAATCCTAGGAGATGAAAAACACATGGCACCTCCACCTACCCAAGCCCTTTTCACCTCCATCTTGCATGCAGCCTTGCCCCGCATGCACTGTGTGACCTTTACTTACCAGCCTCCTCTGAGGTTTGAACAAGGGTCGGTTGATGCCATTCATCTTGTGGTAGAGGCCACAGGCGTTGCAGAGGTAGTGCCCTGTGCCATCTCTCCTCCAGAGTGGGGTAGACATGGCCCCACAGTTGACACATTCTCGACCCTCTGAATAATCATCAAAAAATTCTGCTGCCATGATGAGAGAGAAGGAGGAATACTTGATCAATTACAAGTCCATACATTTAATTTCTGCTCTGGTTCTTAATATATAGCCCCAGAAGTAATATCAAAATAAAGCATAAACATTCAGATTTTATAGGGTGTACAAAACACCTCTTCCCTGGGAAAGAAGAGCAGCACCCTCCATGATTATTGGGAATAGGAACCCCTTTTCCAGCCATACAGCATTGGATGGAAGGATTTATGTAGCAGCAGGTATGTTCTGGGACACAGATAAAAAGGAGACAGAAATAGAAACCTTCCCTTCTGCTCTGACGTTATCCAATTTTCAAGACTGGGCACAGCCAGGGCAAACAGATTGGGACAGGCAAATAACCATGTTTACAATTAAGACAAATTACCAGCAACCACAGACAAACACAAGTCTGGACCCACAGAACTGTCCAGAAATCAGACAGTTGCCCAAACTTCTCTTGCTGTAACTCAGGCAGGCGTGGGCAGAGAATAGGAGGGAAGCGTGTGTCTACCTGTGCACCATGCTCCCCATAAGGCAGGGTAGTCTTCCTCATCTGGTCTATGCCAATTGCCACCCAAATCCCTCTGCAGAGGGGAAAAAAAACATGGCGCCAAAGCACAGAGACATTCACATGTTTTCAGCCGATTTCCTACACAAGAAGCAGCCTCTGAACTGCAAGAATCCATGTATGCAACTCCAGCCCTATGCTGTCAGCTAACAGACATTGGCCTTGGGCATTTAGAGGACACTGCTCTTCCTGATGCAAATCTCTGTCTTTCTTGACGTCGTGGTCCGGGGCCTGTTCACCCTCCTTGACGTCACGCTCCCTGTTCAACTTCCATCAGGACCAAGTTGTGACATGACATGAGAACAGTTACTCTGGGCTGGGGCGGGCTGATTGTTCTGCTATGGAAGGTTCATATCATCTGCATGGTAGTGAAGAGCCAATACAAGATGTTGCGACTGCATCAGCATTTGGAGATACGCAGGTCGGTCACACTGCGTAGAAAACCCTCAAGAAGGCAAGGTCTAATTTAATATGGTGCACTTTGCCTTATAAAATTGGATCATCTGATATGGCCCTTGCTGAGATATAAATATAGCTGCCTGCAGTTGGCATGGATCTGGAAAAAACATATTTCTAATGCTAACCTCACCTAATAGATATCATCTACTGAGGTCAGTTTAAGGATGCATTTCTTATGATATACCAAATTCCTCTGTGTGGCTCCCCTCTGTACCCCAAAACAGAAACCAAGGCATGCACACATTCTGTTGTGGGCACCACAAAAGAAAGATCATATTATACAATAACTGTGGAAGCCAAGAAAAAGACCAATAACAACAAAGGACTCTGAAATTTTCCATAGGCTGGGAATAAAACAGCCTGCTGGATGTAGGCTGAGAATAAAACAGGCTGCTGGAAAAGCCTGATTCCCAGCATATTTGTAGCACACAGGAGACTTCCAGAGGATGGCACCAGAGCCTTGAGCCATTACAGAGCAGTGTAATCTTAGCTCTTAAAATATTAGTGCATATCTCAGCACATTTCATGCCTGTCCATCTTTGGCTGTACGAGAATCTCCACTTTCCCCTGGAAGTCAAGTAGTTTGCTAAACAGCAAGCCAACAATATTTGGCTTCCTGCAGATCTATGTCCCAAGGCTGTGTAGATTCTTTAATACTTGGTGTTCAAACATCAGTCTTATTTTCGCCCGGTTTTGTAGGAAATTGTAGGAAACTAGACATGAAACAAAGAGTTTAAAAAATGCTGAAGTGTTTTTGATAAATGAAGACTCAGAGAAATAGCTTCATGTGAGCTTAGTTTCCTCCAGAAAACCTTGCTAAAAATGGCAAGAGATTAGACCCTGTGGCGACAGGGAAATACTAGAAAACAGGAAATGAGTGCACCTAAAGGGCTCTGGAACCAAAAAAGGGAGGAATCCAGTATCTTCCTAGAAGCTTAGAAAAATCTCATTATGTTTGAGCAATTCTTAAAGTTGAGGCAGAATGGGAATCCCTCTAGGTGATATTTTTACATATGTGCTCAGTGACACTATAATCATCATACCTTACTTTCCTTTTTAAAATCAGCATTGAATTATAGCCAAAGTCTAGATCAAATAAACTTCCTTTGAAAAGAGAAGGAATTGGAATAGTTGATCAGGAAACAACTCATTTCCTTGAAAAATCTCAAGAAAGGAAAACATTTCACTATTTTTTAGAAGTCGTTGAAATATTTCATTAACTTTTTCCAAAAGACAAATGAAGTATTTTCAGAATAATGTACATGCTGTGAGAAAATCTCTTCTTTGAAAATAGTTTAGTAAAAGTTGTCAACATGATCTCAGAGAATTTAAGAGAGTAGAGTAAGTCCAAAGTTAACAGTTAAATCTCTCGACCAGTGTAAGTATTTCCAGTTACTAATTGCAGTCTCTCTGTTCAGGAGTATTTTCCACTAGAAAAACAAATCTTGAAAGTTTTTAAGCAACGAGCAAAGAAAAAAAAATCATAGTAGACCATCAGAAATTGTAAAGGTGGACTATCTGTTGAATATGAAGGTCCCTCAAATGGGTATAAGAAAAATGTCAGGTATCTATTTTTTTTTAACCTAAGAGGAAAAGTATGTTGAGTTGAAACCAGATTTTTTTTTGTTTTCTGGCAAAAATCAGATTTGCTAGTACATACTGAATATTCTTTCTTAACAGCTTGTGTGAGACTCTGCTCCATTGTCCACACTCTCTTTAGTCTTGGCGTCTCCCTCATAAACTCCCATGCAAATCGCCTTGAGACCCTCCTTCTTTGCCTTCTCATTCACTTGTATTTGTTCTCCGTATAACCCTCACTACTTTATTTTTCCTCTGTTTCCTTTTTATTTTTGGTTGCCAATGGTATGTGAAGTAGAAATTTTCCCTTGACAGGCTTTGACTGACAACTTTCTACCAAAAAAATAACCAGAACAACTTTCTTGCTTCTATAGCACTAACATTTGTGTAATTTTACCCTCAAGGTATAGACAAAGGTGAACCAAGTGCACATTAATAAATAGGAATACCTGGTGAAGAACAGACTTTATTCCCAGGGCACACTGAGGCTTCTTACAGTGCGTGGCTCTACCTAATCATAGCCCATGTCAAGTGATACCAATTGGGTGTATCTCCTGTTTTACACCACCCAGTGCTGAGTCAGATATTAGAGGAGTGTAATCTCATAAAACACCAACCATTCCTAGAGCCCCGTCAGAGCAAAGCAAACTCCTTGGCCTCAAGTGATCTCACCTGAAGGAATAATTCTCTCCTGCTTCAGGGTGTGCTTGGTGATGGTAAATTCCTTTTAACAGGAATGTTCTCTAGAAGGACAAGTCCCAGACACAGTAGTGCCTAAAGGAATTCTGAGAAGACAACTTAAGCTTAACATATTCCCATTACTGAATGAAAGGACCACTCATTTTGGCGCTAATGAAGAAATGAAAGGCTAGAAATCATATTTATTTCTAAAAAAAAGAGCTGTAATTTCAAAGCATTGTTATATTTAGTTACCAAGAAGTCGTCAAGACACTTTCTGACTCAGTTGAGACAATCCCATCTGCTCTTGAAAAGTTTGAGGTCTATAAGATAATGAGAAAGTATCACCTAAACAACTGCAGCTTGGATTCACATCCTTTCACATCCCTGTCACATCTGCTTGTGCCCTACTTGGTGTAGCAGGGTGCTGCATCCATCTCCTCAGCTGCCCTCCAGTTTGATTCACCCCAACTCAAAGAACTTCAAGAGTCACAATTCTACTTTTGTGTCTGCTGCAAGTTTCTGCCAATCTTTTCCAACAGACCTGAGCTTTAACCATTTAATTATTGAGTAACCATGCTTGAGATAACTAGGTAGAAGCAAAGTGAACAACCAGAATCTACAGAGCCATGTTAGGAATTGGGTAAGGGTCCCTTGAGCCATACGGAGTCTATGAAATGCAACATGGGCACAGCCAGTATTCGAGATCTAGGAAATCCAAATTCTGAAATACCTGCTCACGGTCGAAGATTTGTGCCATGGCCTGCCTTCTACTCCAGGGTTATAGCTGGGGCTGAGGCTACCTCCCCATGCCTGGGCACTCCTCAGAAGTTAGCAGCATCTCCAAGTTCGTGCCAAGACAAGTTAATTCCCAGTGCTAAGAGCCCACAGTAACCATGAACCACAAGCGCATTGAACTATACCAGGCAGGGAAGCTGTTGGGTTTCAAGTGCACTGTTTAATCTGTCCTTTTTGTTAATAACAGGGATTAAAGCATGGCTGGAGACTGGAGACTCCCCGGGAGCAGCAGCAAAGTGCTTTCTTGGCTTCTGTCTCAGGGCTGGAGCTCTAAATCCCAACATTATGAGATCCCTTGACACTTATTCTTTCCCTTACCTTGCAGTAGCAGCTGAGAAAGGAAACATTTATTCAGGCAGCAAATTGCCTGAACAGCTCCCTGCGGGACCCTGAACAATGGGAATGAAAGGAAAGGCTCCCCCAGCCGCACTCAGGGCAACAATTTCCGTTTCATGAGCCACAGGAGCCACTGCCTGATAATGGAGATTTATGGGTCCGTCCAGTGACCTCTCTAATAGCCTTTCGGCTGGAAGGTACATCAGGGAAGATTTACTCCTTCTCTCAAAACCAGGTATGGCCAGCACTAAGACAAGACTGAGGAAATTATAATGTTTGCCAGTTAGGCTAAGCAGGAAGCAGGCCCAAGGTTGGAGCAGGCTACTTCACCGCATGTACTAAATGGTCTATTGCTACTCTTTGAACGTACAGCTCTCCTGAGTGACTTTGCCCGGTCTTTATCTTAGATAGTATCAGTCTTTTGATCAGTCGTTCTTTTTATGGGTTGAGTCCCTGGGTCTGACACTGACTAATGCTAATGGCTTTCAACTTAGTGCTCCACAAGACCATACTCTTAAACCATTAGGTATCTCACGTGAGAACACATCATGAAGTCATGCTGAAGGTCTGTGGAGA